GCAGCCCACCTAGATCTGGGTGTCTGGGGTGGGGAGGCCGCCGCAACGCCCCCAGGCCGTGACAACACGCTGTCCCCAGCTGGCCTCGCCTACTCAAACCTGGTGTATGACTGGGTGAAGGCGGCTGTCCTCTTCGGCGTCGTCAACACGGTGGCGCGCCTGGACCACCTGGACCCGCCCCAGCCGCCCAAGTGCATCACAGCGCTCTACGTCTTCGCCGAAACGTGAGTGCGGGCAGCCGGGCCACGCCCCGCCCCGCCCCGCCCCGGGCGGCGGGGGGGCCCTCCCCCTGCGTCCCCAGGAGCCCGGCTCCTGGTTGGCTCACACACCGCCGCCCTCCTCCTACAGGCACTTTGACCGAGGCATCAACGACTGGCTTTGCAAGTGAGTTGCGGCGGGCAGGCGAGGAGGCGAGGGGGCGGGGTGAGGGCGGAGTGGGGGAATAGTCATGGGGCAGGTGTTTGCTTGGGCGGTGCCGAGGGTGGTCTATGTTTTAAAAGACCCCCCCCCCCCCACCAGAGGAAGCAGGGAGCGGGGTGAGGCGGTCCTGGCACAGGTCTAGGCGAAAGAGAGGTTTGGGGTTGGGCGGGGCCCTGGAGATGAGAGGAACAGTCGAGCAGAGAGACACAGCAGGCAGCCTGGACGGGACCTGGCGCAGCATCGCAGGTATCCGGAGGGAGAGGGAGATGGCTCCCGGGTTCCTACCTACAGCCTGGGAGGATGGACGGGCGCTTTCCAGAAAGGGGCTCTGTGTGAGCAGTGTCTGGTTGGAGCCTGGCAGCAGGCTCCGGGAGGCGGTTCGGGGAAGTCTGGGGGGCAGATGGAACTCTGAGCTTACAGGGGTGGGCGGCCTTTGGGCCCTAAGTGCCCCCAAGGAGAGGTGAGTCCCAAGGAGAGAAGATAGAGAAGAGAAAAGCAGGGGCAGCCGGGAGTGGGCCTGGAAGAACTCTGGAGGGGGGGGGGCGGGGCAGGGGGGACAGGAGTAAGAACAGGCAGAAAGGACTGAAGGGAGTGGTCATGGGGCAGGGGACAAGGCAGGCCGTGTGACATCCCGGGACTAAGAGAAGCCCATCCAGGTCTGGTGGGGGCAGGGGGGCAGGGGCTGCCGGGGTCAAGGAAGCCAGAGACCGAGCGTTAGTGTTGGTGGCGGTTATTCAGCCTTTCCCCGGAGAGCGGCGCCAGGCGAGGAGTGGGGAGAAACTGAGGAACTGCAGGGGGTTCTGCTGCGGACGACTCCTGGGGGAAGCCTGGTGCTGAAGGGGAAGACGGAGGGGTGGCTGAAGGGGACAGACAAGAAACAGCGGGCCGGCTTGGGTGCGGGGGGCGGGGGGAGTTCCTCCACAGAGAGGAAGAGGCTGGGACGCAGGTCCGAGGGCTGCTGCACGGAGTGAGGTCCCTGAGGAGGGAGAAGGAGCCGGAGCCGGGGAGGAGGAGGAAGAGAAGCCGGCGTGCTGCGGACGCCGGGTTGGCTCGGGCGGAAGGGTGAGGGGTCCCACCTGAAGGCTCTGGCGTGCTCCATGAAGTGAGAGTCAAGGTCATCCGCTGAGAGACGCAGGGTTGGGGGCCTGGAGGGCGGTGGCATCTGTGTGTCTTCCGCCCTCCTGCTTAGAACACCCCCCCCCCCGCAACTCCCACTCATACTGGGCACAGAGAGATGAGGGTGGCGTGTCCACTGCAGAGCACGGGGAAGCTGCCTGGAGAAAACCGGGCATTCAGGGCCCACGCGGGTTGGAGGTAGCGGATTTATGTGGAGGTGCGGGTTTCCCCATCAGCGCTCAGCTTCTGGGGTGCAGGTGAGGAGGAAGTGGGCGGCTGGCCTCTCCCAGATGGCTGAGAAATACGGGGTTTTAGGTTAGCTGTGACAGTGACTCAGGGGTCACGAGATGAGGAAGGGTGGGTGTTCATGAGACGGGAGAGCTGGAACTGGGGGGCCAGGCCAGGAGCGGCTGGGCAGAGCACTGGAATGAGTGAAATTTCAGATGGTGACCAAGTTGGGGTGTGGCCACGGGAGTGGGCAGCTGAGGTGGAGTGGGAAAGAAACCGTTGGCGATGAGGAGCTTCAGGTCGTTACCCAGTGGGTCTCCTACTGAATTTATCTAACCAATGTTTTTGAAGCACCTACTATGTGCCAGACACTGTTCTGGCCACTGGGGATACAGTCGTGAACACGGCAAAGTCCCCGAACTCATGGGGCTTTCAGTCTAGCGGGGAGAAACACACCACACACAGGCAAACAAGCACATACACGACTTTAGAAAGTGGCACGTGTTATGAGAAAAACAGAACAGCATCATGGGTAGAAGCCGGCCACAGCGTCTGGGCAGAACTCCGGGAGACGCTATTTGAATGGAGATGTGAGAGAAGGGGATCTGGCGAACGTAATTCAAGATAGAGGGGAAAAAAGCGCACAGGTCTCGAGGCAGGAACCTGCTGCGTCTGAGGGTCAGAATGGCGGGTGCTAGCGTCCAGGGGGCAGCAGACGCCAGAGGACACGGAATCTCTTAGCTACGGCAAGGAGGTCAAGTTTATTGTAGTTACAGTGCAGAGAGGTATCGGGAGAGGGTTTGATGGTGGAAGTGATGTGACCCCAGGCACCCTCTTAGAAGATGCCTCTAGCTGCTGTGTGGGGAACAGAGGGCAGGGGGCGAAGGCAGAGGCAGGGGGACGAGTTAAGAGACGTGGGACAATCTCCGTGCGAGGAGAGGTTGCCTGGACGAGCGTGGCCGTGTGGAGGTGGTGAGCCGCGGTCAGGGCTGGGTGGAGCCCTTAGGCTTTGCTGGCAGGGATGCGGCTGGAGATGGGAACTGGGAATCCAAGGTGGCACTGAGGCCCCTGGCCTGCCACGGAATGCATGGTGGTGTCGCTGACCGAGACGGGGACGAAGTGGGCTTGGGCAGGGACGGGGGAATCTGTCGTTCAAGGGAGATGTCTGGGGACAGTTGGGTAGTCGAGACCGGAGGAGACTGGGCTACAGACGCCGATGCCGGGCTCAGCACGGAGACCGTTGTCGGAGCTGTGGGTCTGCGGGAGACCTCTGGGGGACTGCGTGGACGCAGCTGGAGGGCAGCTGGAGCTCCAGGCGGAGCGCCCCGCATTCTGATGCTGGGAAGAGGGCGAGACGCCACCCGTGGGTGGGGATGTTGAACGTGCCCGGGTGACTGCATGGGGGAAGGCTGTCCCTGTCGTGCGTCCTTTGCCTGTGCCCCGCCCGCCCTCTCCCACACTGCCACCGGTCCCTTCTCCCGCCTCTCCCGCAGGTACGTGTACGACCACATTGGTGGGGACCACTCTGCCATGATCCCGGAGCTGGTAGCCACAGTGGCCACCTTTGCCGTCACCACTCTGTGGCTTGGGCCTTGTGAGATTGTCTACCTGTGGTCAATCCTTAACTGCTTTGGCCTCAACTTTGAGCTCTGGGTGCAGAAGCTGGCGGAGCGGGAGCCCCTGGCACGCATCGAGGTGAGCAGAGAGGGGCTGGGCGCTGTTGCTCTCGGAGGGCTTCCAGCCACGCTTGGTCCCCAGTCCAGAACTCTCACCGCCGCCCGCCCTCCTGGCTGTCAGGACAATGGCTCACCCTGTGGGCATCCGGCCCTCCGTACCGTCTGTGGGGCGTGGCACACTCAGGCCTGGCCACGTTGGTCAGGGCGCTGCCCTCTCTCCAGACCTCAGTTTCCCCACCTTTAGCAATGACGGAGAGCTGACCCGGGACTCTCCGAGACCTCAGGGACCACGTGGGCAAGACCTCTGACCACCCATGTCCTCTTTCCCCTGGGCCTCTTGCCGCACGGACCATGCATTTCTGGACTGGGCAGGCCTCTCTGTCGGAGCAGATGTCCCGCAGGGTCCGGGCCGTCTTTGGGGCCATGAACTTCTGGGCTATCATCATGTACAACCTCGTAAGCCTGAACAGCCTGGAGTTCACAGAGCTGGTTGCCCGGCGCCTGCTACTCACAGGTGAGGGCCAGAGGGGAGGGGGATACAGGCAACATCCTGGAGGGCTGACCTTTTGAAATGTCCCCATTTCCCCCCAACTCCCCAGGGACTCAGTAGGGAGGGCTGGTCCAGCGGGAGAGGCACGGGAAGAGAAGAGTCACTGATCGGCAGGGGGTGGGGGGGGGCGGTCTGCCCCCAGGCTTCAGTGACCTCTTCCTGCCCAGGGTTTCCCCAGACCACGCTGGCCGTCCTGTTTGTCACCTACTGTGGCGTTCAGCTGGTGAAGGAGCGAGAGCGGGCCCTGGCGCTGGAGGAGGAGCAGAAAGAGGACAAACTGAAGCCCGAGTAGGTGGGAGGGGGCGGGGGCAGCTCTGCTCAGCTGTGCCGGGGCCCAGGCCAGGCCGGGCCAGATGGGGCCTGAGCGAAAGAATAAAAGACTTTTCTACCACAGTCTGGCTGCTCCCTCCCTGCCCTTTCCCCAGCATTCCCCTGGCTCCTCGTCTGTGCCGGATGGGGAGCCGGGGGTTCTGGGCCTCAGGGAGAGGGTCAAGCCCTCGGTGCCTGCAGCGTGTGGAGGAGACACCCACGTGGAGGGCCGAGACCACCAACCTGGGTACCCCAAAAGCTGAATGTTAAAGCCCCGAATCTTCAAACTAGCTGATCACTGTCTCGGAGCACCTGCTTCCAGACCCTGAGCGGCCGGATCAGAAGGCACTTTATTCTTCTCAGGAAAGAAGACTTATCTGTGCTGCAGGGAGCTCTTGGTGGGGCACTCCCCCTGTGACAGGCGAGGACTGGCCCCTGTGGGGAAGTCACTGGCACACGCGGCCAGGCCACCTGGGGGGTGGGGCAGGGCCAGGATGCAGCCTGGGATGCGTCCTTGTGTGTCTGGCTCAAGGACCAAGAACACAGGCGGGCGACGTGGAGACACCGGAGGAGTTCTTCGTCCCAGCTCCGAGGCCAGGGCTGGCAGCGTTACCTTCCCTGACTGAAGCAGATCCAGGGGGGCTCGGGCCCCTCCCAGCCTCCTCCCTGGAGCCCCCAGAAGGCCTGGCCCATGAGGGCGGCGGGGTGCAGACCCTCCGGGGCCGGTCACATCTTGGTCAGGCGCAGCACGTTGAGCCGCACAGGTACGAAGGTGGCGCCGTTGGCGTAGGCAATCTCCCGCAAAACACCTTCCCACTTCTTCTCGTCCTCATTATATCTGGGGGGTGGGGCAGGGACGCGGAGCTTGGTCAGCAGAGTTCAGAGGGAGGCCCAGCAGGGAGGGGTGGCTGGGAGCACTAGGTCCACTCTTGAGGAGTCCCCCTGGCCCCAGCTCTGGAGAATGGTCCGCTCCTGGAGGGGGCCCCCACAAGGCCCACCCCTAAAGAACAGCCACCGCACATTCCAGGAAGGGCCACCTCCCTCCAGCAAAGTCTACCTCTTTCCTGGAGGCGTAGAATTTCCCCACCCAGCCCTCCAAGAAGTGCCGCCCCCACCGTCACTCTCCCAACAGCACTGCCCCCCGGGGGCTGTCTGCCTGCGGCAGTGGGGATACGGGAAGGTTTGGAAGCTGCCCCAAGTGGCCGAAACCTCTGCCCTCCATCCCCAGGAAGGACCAGCCATGGAAAGCAATGGCTCTCCAAGGCTGGGGTCCAGCAACTTCTCAATCCTGGCCCGGCGCTCCCCCACCCCTGAGCATCCAGGAGGGAAGGGAGAGGGAAGGCCTGGCCGCCTCTCCAGGGCCCCTCTGCTTTGGGACCTGTTTCCGTGGGTCTGCGCCCTGAGCTTGGGGTCGGCTCCCGACTGTGACACTGTTGGGGTCCCACAGTGGGGCATGGTGTCCTGTGTGCAAGCTCAGACTTGCCCAACCACACGGAGAGAACCAGGGCTGAAGAGGGGCTGCTGTCCCGCCTCCTGGGACTTGGGGAAGAGCCACAGGCTCTGGCCCCAGAGGAGCCTGCCGGGGGTCCTCCCTGCAGCCACGGTGCTGTGGGCCACCAGCCTTGCTCCTGACTCCGCCCCGCCTCCCTGGGGCCCGGCTCACCTCCAGATGTCAGTGAGCTCTGTGGGGACCAGCTCCCCGGACTCAGTCTCCAGAGTGGCGAAGCCACCGATGGCGTACAGGGTGCCCGCCAGGCTGACCAGGCTGATGGAGCTGCGCTCCTGCGGGAAGGCCTCAAAGGACGCCCACCTGGGGGGTGGGGTGAGGAGGTGAATCATCAGGGGGGCTTCAGCAAGCCCAGCGCCAGGCCCACCCTGCACCCACAGCCTCAGCCGCACCCCCCTGAAATCAACTGCCCCCCAGGCTTGCAGGCTCTCGGCACAACCTCCCGTTTGGGACCTCCTTAGGAATGTCCACCTGGGGCCCCTGCCAGGGCCTCAGGGTGTCCCAACGCTCTTTCCCTCCCCCTTCCCGCTGGTCTTCGCTTCCTTCCCCATCCTCTCTGCCCCTCCCACTTCCCTTCACTGGCCCTTTGGCACGCCATCCAGCCTGCCCTGAGATCCACGGTGGACCTATCTCCCCGGTGTCCCTCTCACTCCTGACCCAGTTCCCACTGGCTAGCTCAGAGGCCTTCGAGCTCCCGACCCCTTGGACTCCTGCCCGGCCCCCTTCTCCCTCCGTCCAATCAGTCCCCTCCCGGTTCCTGTTGAGCCCTCCCCTCCACCGTCACAAAGGGCTGGCGGGTCCCCCCCACCCCCCTACAGGGCTTGGCAGTCCAGGCCCAGCACCCACGCCCCTTGCATTTTAACATGATCTCCCAGAGATCCGTGGGCATGTGACAGTGTGAGAAGCCCTGGCCTACAGCTTTCTGCGGGGCACCCCCTCTGCCCCTTCCCCTCTGCAACCCCATCCCTGGGCCACCAGCACGTCTTGCTATAAAGCAGCACCCCTGCCTCCTGGGAAATTCCTGACGTCATCTCTGCATCAGCCGTCATCTCTGCATCAGCCGTCAAGAGGCCTTTTAGTAAAACCCACCGGAAGCATTGCATTGCCCCCGGGGCTAAAGTTCTCCACTGTTGCCTCTGCAGCCCCAGTACCCGCCTCCCCACCTCCTTCCACCCTCCACACTCCGTCCAGCCGGAGCAATAGCCTTTGCTGTTTTGTCCTAACTGCCTCGGCGCCTACCTTCCTTTGCCCGGGCATCCTTCTCCCACCCCAGCGGTTTCTTCCTGACCCCCCAGGGCCAGGCAGCTGGGTCACCGCTGCAGCCCCAGTCCCAGGCCAGTGCCTGGTGTGAGTCTCTGCGTGAGAAACCTGGCATCTTGCACCCCACCCCCGAGGAGCTCTCTCCTGCAGGCCAGGCTGGCCAGAACCCTTGCCCCGCCTTGGGGGGAAGCCCACCTCACTGCTGATCAGGGGCAAGGGGCTATTTCTGTGCTGATGTCCAAGCTGAACTGTGAAAACCCAAGGCAGGGGCTATGCTTCCCTCTGGGGCTGACCCAGACAGGGCCAGCATAGCCCCACAGCCACACAGCCAGGGGTTACAGTGAGACCCCCGGTCCCTGGCTGTCCTGCCTGGGGCAGGGAGGGGAGACAGGAGTCAAGGGGCCGTACTTGTTGTCCGGGATGCTGTACACCTCCACTGAGCTGGTCAGCCCCGTGTCTGTGACCCCAGCAGCCACAAAAATGCGGCCATCGTGGATGGTGGCCCCGAAGAGTGACCGAGCAGTCTGCATGGGAGCCAGCTCCTTCCACTCGAACTTCTTAGGGTCGTAGACGCACATCTTATTCAGGCACTTCCTGTGGGGGTTGGGGGGGGGCGTTCAGTGAGAGGGAGGAAGCAGGAGCAGAGCCCCCACCCTCCCTTGGCCCCGCCCCTAAGGCTGCAGCCCCGCCTCCCTGGGCAGCCGGGGCAACACCGCTCCGGTCTAACCTGCCGCCCTGCTGCTGCGCTCACTCCAGGCCTGAGCCTCACCTGTTGCTGCCTTTGCCGCCAATGACGTAGACAAGGTCCATGTGGGAGAGCACCGCGTGGCCGTACACGGTGTAGGGCAGCGGGTCCGACTCACCCCATTTGAACGACCTGGAGTGGGGGGGGGAGGAGAGGGTGAGCGCACTCAGCCCCTGTCTCTGCATCCACCCACCCCCCAGTACGGATCCCGTATTCGGGGTGCACTCGGCAGATTACCGGAACTCCCCAGGCCTCTCATTTCTTCGCTCTCGTCCCACCTGCCAATCGCGCGCCCCTCCCCTCCCCTCCCTCCCCCTCCCTCCCCTCCCCTCCCCTCCCTCCCTCCCCTCCCCTCCTCCCTCCCCTCCTCTCCCTCCCTCCCCTCCTCCCTCCCCTCCCTCCCTCCTCCCCCTCTCCTCCTCCGTCTGGGCCTCCAGGCTCCCGCCCACACGGGGCGGCCCCGCCCCCTGCCCGCGCTCACAGCCTGTCGTAGCACATGACCGAGTCCAGGCTGCGTTCCCCGTCCTTGAGCTCCCGGCCGCCGACCACGTAGATGGAGTTGAGAGCCTCTCCCAGGCCGAAGAGGCAGCGCGGCGAGGGCAGCGGCGGCATCCCCAGCCAATCTGAGTCCAGGTGGTCAAACTGCGGACCCGGGGTGCAGTCAGCTACCGCCTCCCCCATGCCCGCAGCTCCAGCCCCGGCGCAGCCCCTCCCCGCCACCCTGGGTCACAGAGAAGTCCAAGCCTCCGGGTAGGGCCAGCAGGGCCTGGAGGTGGTGTCTGGAGACATCGCCCCTCCACCTTTCAGGCTGAGAACTACCTAGCCCGGCAACCCCCCGAGATGCCTCCCAGCTTCCGAATACGCAGGTGCCCGGAGGTCCCCATTACAGTACCAGGACCGGCCAGCTCTGCGATCCACCCCGTCCCCCTGCACGGCAAGGGCCTCTGAGATCCACCCCGTCCCCCTGCACGACCAGCCCAAATGCAGCCAGTCCTGCCACTCGCCCCTGAAAACCTAGAGTGTACGTCTGTCGCCCTGTCCATCTGGACGGTCTTATAACAACAACACTAGTGGCTGATGTTTCTGAAAAGTTTCCCGAGGGCTGAGCCCCGCGCAGATGAACACCTTATACCCACCATTTAACCTTGAAACGACCTTGTCAAGCAGGAAGGATAACACCCCCATTTACAAACGGAGGCCCAGAGAGACTCAACCATGATGTGCCCACCTGTGCTGGTGACTGGTGGACCTGCCCCCGCCTCCCAGCCTGATCCCGGCACCAGGCTCCTCCTCGGCCCTCTCGCTCCTGGCCTCCCGGAGTGCACCACTCCTTGGGCTCCTTCCCCACCCCACTCCCTTCCAGGTTTCCAAATTCCAGCCTGGCTCACACCCACATGGTCACTAGGAAGCCATTTCTGCCCTCTGAGATCCTGTCACACCACAACTTGGACTGGGCACCCCGCTCTACTGGACCTTCCGGGGCCTCAGTTTCCTCATCTGTGTAATGGGAGGGCTAGGCAGGATGGTCCCTTGGGACACTGTCTTCTACGGGCCAGTGCCCGCCTACGCAAAGGCCCTGCCCAGAACCGGCTCTGACCTGGCTCCTCCTCCACGCAGTGCCTGACCCCGCCCCCTGTGCAGGGCTAGAGCCCCCAGCACATCAGACCATCCTGGGGCTGTCCTCCCCAAAACAGAGACACTGAAGTTAGGTGGCTCATTGTCCACTGCCTGTGACTGTCTTCAGCTGAGGCAAGGGCCTGTTGTTGAACCTCCCTGGTCTACAGCTCACCCTAGACCAATGACATTGACCAACGAGTAGACACAGGTCTCTCCTGGGCCTCAGGGCTGACCCCAGTGCCCAGCACCCAGCGCTGGCCACCCCCCTCCCAGGGCTGGCCAGGCACCTGCAAGAAGTAAGCACTCATGGGGTCCTCTTTGTTGTCCTCATTGTAGAAGAGGCCCCCGGCCACGAAGACCTGGTTCTCCTTCGTCACCAGGCTGACGTGGTTCTTGGGGATCTGGGTGGAGAGGGAGGCGCAGTAACACTCATTGGCCGCCGGGTCGTAGGCCACGGCGCCCTCCTCACTGATCATGAAGATGAGGTCCTGCAGGAACATGCCAAAGCGCAGAGTGTCGTTGAGGATGCCGGGAAGGATACGCTCCTCCTCCTCGTCCTCCTGCGCCTTGACTTCACCCGCGCCCTTGTCAGTCGCCGTGGCCCCAGCTGCCTCCTTCCCCTTCTCTTTCTTCTTCTTGCGCAGCATGGTGATGCGGCCCTCGTGGGCATCCTTCACCATCTGCACCTTTCGCAGCAGCTCGGGCTGGGCCCGCACGAGAGGGTGGCGCTCCACGCGGCTCTCCAGGAAGGCGCGTGGCAGCAGGCGAAAGCGCACGCTCTCGAAGACGGTGGGCAGCGCACGCTGGCGCTCGGCCTTGGCCTCGGCGTCGCCGCTGGCCGCCCACCGCATCACGGCCTCAAACACAGCCTCCTCCTTCTCCACGTTGAGACCGTCGCTGGAAATGATGGCAATGAGCTCGTCTGCCGAGAGCCCGAGGAAGTCATTGTCGCGCGACACGAGCGAGAACCGCGCGCAGATGAAGTCCCGGGCGGCCACGGCCAAGCGCGCGCAGTCGAGCAGGAGTCCCAGACGGAAGACCGCCAGGCAGTTGGAGAGACACAGGCGCTTCTGCAGGAAGGACACGCAGATGGTGAAGATGGACGGGATCTGGAAGCGGTGCGCCGCGGCGAACAAATCCTGCACGCTCGCCTCATCCAGCGAGATCTCCGACGTGTACAAGTAGTGCAACACCTGGGCCACCACATCGGGGGACACCTCCTCCAGGCGCAGCTCGCCCGCCTGCTCCGGCTCTGCCAGGAAGCGCGCCCGGAAGTAGGGGCTGCAGGCGGCCAGCACCAGGCGGTGGCACGGGAACTCGCGCTCACCCACCCGCACCACGCAGTCCAGGAACTTGCCGTGGTCCAGCATGTCCTTGAGCCCGTCCTGCAGGAGCGTCTGCTGGTACAACCGCTGCTCCTCCGCCTGCTCCAAGCCCAGTGCCATGGCGGGTGGCCTAGGGTGCGGCGACCGAGGGTGCCAGAGGCCTCCTCTTCACTCCCTGCTTTCCTGCTGGGTTGTGCTTGGTCTACGCAGCTGTCTTCTTGGGGCTATATATAGAGGTGGGCCCGGCCCTGTAAGGAGAGCTGCCTGGCCTCCTGCACATGACGCAGAGGGGACAACTGGGCAGAGGCCCCCTCCCAGAGCAGCCTTGACTCAGCCCCTGGGGCTCATGGGATGGGAGTGGGGTTTCTGGGCCTTCCTGGAAAGATGAGGGCTTCACTGCCTCATTTCTAAATGGGGCACTGGATGGCTTTGACTGCGTTCCTTGGTTGGGCAATGCTCCTCGGGGGAGGGGGTGACCCAGCCTCCACCCCTGACATCAGGGAGGGGCAAGAATGGGAGTCCCACTTCCCCTGTCTCCCTGACTTCACACCTTCTGGGTCTTTCCACCAGGTGCCTCTATCTTCCTCTCCGGAGTACATTTCACTCCAGCCACCTCTGGATACAATGTGCTTAGATTTTGTGCTCAGTGAACTTGAGCGTGGCATCCACTCATTAGGGACCTTGTTGTCCCACCTTTAAAATGAAAAGGTCTGTCCTGGCTGGCGTAGCTCAGTGGATTGAGCGCGGGCTGCGAACCAAAGTGTCGCAGGTTCGATTCCCAGTCAGGGTACATGCCTGGGTTGCAGGCCATGATCCCCAGCAACCACACATTGATGTTTCTTTCTCTCTCTCCCTCCCTTCCCTCTCTAAAAATAAATAAATAAATAAAATCTTTAAAAAAGAAAAAAAAAAGAAAAGAGAAGGTCTTTCCCAACTTCTGCCCCAGCTCAGATACCCTCCTTCCACTGCGCAAGAACGTGCCTTAGGTGGACTAGGTGACCGCTTTTCTGTGGAGCCTGGGGCAGGGCAGGTCCCTCCGTTGAGCCTCAGTTTCCCCTCCTACCCAGTGAGGAGGTGGAGGGCTGAGACTCGGAGGGTGGCAGCCTGTTCTGCTGAGGCTCGGAGCCACTGAGGTTCTGTGTTCCTAGGAGCACACAGCCACAGGGCTTTAACACTGGGAGGTATCAGACATGCTGGGAGATGGATTTCCTAGAATTTGACTGTTCTAGGTGTTCACCCCCCCCACCCCCAGGTTTTAACATACCGGGGGAATGACATTCTGGACTTCAGTGTTCAAACAGTGACGCCCTAAGAGTTTAATATTCCAGGACTTCAGCTGTCTATGCTCGTTGGTCTTAGTCCGTTCTTGGCTTGGCCTGAGCCGGCTTGGCCTGGCCTGCCTGGCCCTGGGGCCCCTGTCCCCTGTCTACAGTCTAGGGGACCAAGGTGGAGACCCAGGGCAGCCAGGCCCTATGCCCATGCTGCTCTGGACTCCTGACCAGCCCCCCTTTGCATACACAGCAGCCTCTGCCACCAAGATTAACTTGTTCCCAGCGTGCCGGAGGCTGCAGCTGTGGGTTAAATTTAGCCCCCTGGACACTGGCGAGAACTGTTATGGGGCATTCTCCCATCGTTCCTCTGAGTCACTTGTTTATAATCTCCGGCTCTGGGGGTGGAGGGATTGGAGAGGGGACCTCAGGCTGGGTCAGGACTGAGTCACCTCCCCTTTTGTGAGCTCAGTGGTGTCACTGCCTGTCCCTCCTGAGCAGTGCTTTTGACTGTTGTTCGGTCACCCCACCAGCAGGTCCCAGAGGGCGCAGCACCCGGGAAGGTCCTGGAGGCGGTCCTATCCGTCGTGCAGAAAGGACAAGGAAGGCAAGCGGTGGGCTTCCAACCCAGCCCTGGATTGCAGGGCCCTTCCAACAAGTCCTGTCAGGACACAAGGCTCTGAGAGGCTCCGCGACTTGGCCAAGTCACACAGCTGACAAGTAGCCCGGTCAGGACTCAAAGGGGACCTGCCTACCTCTGAGGGCTTACGGCTCCCCACAAATTAGCAACAGCAAGGCCAACATCAAAAAGGTCCATTAATCATAGTCTCATTTTCCAAAGACCAGCACAGAAGGTACTGGCTGAACACTGAACTTATATTTACCAAGTGACTGCACGATGTATTTTTAGATTATGATGAATCCCATAGTGCTCCCTCCCTACCAGGCATTCCACTAGAATATATATATGTATACACACACGGTTCATTCATTCACGGAGCATCTGCTGGGAATTCAGCAGTGAGCGCATCAGGCAAGACTTCCTGTCTTCGTGGAGCTTCCATTCAGCCGGGGGTGGGGAGAAAGACAGCAACGAATAAATAGTTATACAGCATGTCCACCGGTGATAACTGCTCCGGTGACAAACAGCAGGAAACAGAGTGTGGGGAGTGACGGATGGAGGTGGTAACGATGTCGGGTGGAGTGGGCAGGATGGACATGACATTTGAGCCGTGGGAAAGGGGGGTTCCCGGCCAGGGCACCGCTGGAGCAAATGTCCTGAGGCAGGAAGCTGCCTGGCTCCTCCCAGGAACAGCAGGAGGTGAGGCTGGGAAGATGAGGGCAGCGAGGAAAGGGTGAGGGGGCCGTGCAGGACCACGGGCCATTTCCCCCTCCGTGACATGGGGAGCCGCTGTTTATGTTTTTGTTCTAATTAGGGGAAATGCGAACACACACACGAGTAGAGAGACCAGTAGACTGAACTGCCGTGTACCCATTAGGCACTTCAACAACCGTCGGGTCATGGACGGTCCTGTGTCACCTCTGCCGCACGCACTCTGTGAGCCACCAGGGAGAGGCCCGAGGGCCGGGTGTGGGCGTAGAAGACAGAGGGAGACCTCATCCCTCCACTACTTTTCGTTGAATCAAAGGACAATGTCGTCTCACTTCATCCTTTTAAGTTTTACTCATTTGATCTTAACTCCCAAATCATGAGGTGGGTATTAGACATGGACATTTACATGGCCAGCAAATAGGGATCTCTCATATGTTGTTTTTAAACAATAAACTGTGCATATGGAGAGTATACCATTTGACAGGTTTTGACGTGTGTGTATATACACCTGTGAAACCGCCACCGCAATCAAGGGAGAGGACATATCCTTCACCTACATGTCGCCTCGTGGGGCTGGCGACACTGGGCACCTGGCCTGGGGGACCCCCTCTGTTCTCTCAGGCAGCAGAAACAGAAACAAGTGGCAAATGAAGTTGTCATTGGAACCTCAGCCCACAGAAGTCGACCTGGGCCTGCTAGCTAAACCTAAGCAAGGCAACTGCTTGTTTAAAAAAAAAAAAAAAAGAACCCAGAGTCTTCTAACATAATAGTCAAGATATCCGGGATGCAATAAAAAATCACCCGTCATAATAAGAACCAGAAAAGTCACAACTCCGACGTGGGAAGAATCAATGGACAGCAACACTGAGGCGAGTCCGACGCTGGGACTATCTGCCGGGGGTTGTAACGTGGCCACGGTCACAGTGCTTCCACCATGAGTCACACGGCCTCTCGAAACAAGTTTGTAGAAATGGAAAATCTCAGCAAAGACGTGGGAGTTACGCAGAAGAACCAAGTGGAATTATAGAACCGAAAAATGAAATAACAGCGATAGAAACGTGCTGGGTGGCCTCAGTAGGACGGGGTGGGGAGGGTGGCAGAGGGCAAAGGCAGTGCCTGTGGGGACAGATGAACAGGGCGTCCCCGCTCTGAAGCACAGAGGGGGCGTGGAGTGAAACACAGAACCTGAACGGCACCGCGGGCCCGAGAGACAAGAACAAAGGCTCTCACGTTGGCATTGTAAGGCCCCAGAAGGAGAGGAGAGGCTGAAAACGTCCAAAATCTGGTGAAAGACACAAACACGCAACTTCAAAGCGCTGAGCAAACCCCACACGGGATCCGCGCCAAGACACATAAATTAAACTTCCAGAAACTGAAGAGAAACAGAAAAAAACGTGAATGCAGCCAGATAAAAACCACACAACCCCGATAGGGGAACACCGACGTAAATGACGGTGGCTTTCTCACCAGAAACCACGGAGGCCAAAGAAAGTGGTGTAACGTGGTTTAAGAGCTGAAAGAACTGAAAATGGTGAATTCTATATCTGATGAAGCCGTCTTTTAGGAAAGAAGGGGAAATAATCCCAGGGAAGCTACAAAACAAAACGAACAAATAAACAAGAAACGTCTAGGAACTAATACATGAGTTTGGAGGGTACAAGAAGAATACACAAACATCAACTGCATTTCTATTCATTCACAATGGACATGTAGAAACCACAATGTAAAACTTACTAGCATTTATAACCACTCCAAGGAAAGCACAACATTTATGAATACACTTAACAAAATGCATACAGGCTCTGTGTACTGAAAATCACAAAATGCCAGTGAAACAAAATCACAGGAGACCTAAATAAAGGGAGACACATATTGTGTTTGTGGGCTGGAAGATTCAACACAGTCAAGATGTCCATTCTCCCCAAATGGAACTATAGGTTTAATTCAGTGTCTTAGCAAAATCCTAGAAAAGTCTTTAATAGGCACAGACAAGCTTATTATAAAATCCATATGGAAAGGCAACGGCCGCAGAATAGCCGAAACAATCTCAGCAAAGAAGAGCAAAGCGGGAGCGATCACTCGACCTGATCGCAAGTCCTCCTGTGTAGTCACAGCACCCAGGACTGTGTGGCGCTGGCCCAGGACAGACACACAGATCAGTGGGACAGACCGGAGGACCCAGACATAGATCTAAACGTGCCCAACTGATTTTTGACAAAGGTCCAAAGCAATTCAGTGGAGGAAGGATAGATAGACTTTTCAACAAATAGTACTGGAGCATGGGGTGGGAGGCGGGGCAGGGGGGAAGCCTCGACCTAAATCTCACACTTCATCCACAAATTAATTCAAAATGGATCATGGACTTAAAATGAAAACCATCTGAAACAATGCTGAAAAAGAGGAACAAAGTTGGAGACCTCACACTTCCTGATTTCAAAACTTACTGCGACACTACAGAAATCAAAGCTGCCTGGTGCTGGCCTGCAGACAGGTGGGTCCACAGACCGCTGGGGTAGAGCAGAGAGCCCGGAGTCACCCCTCACGTGTATCGTCAGAGGATGTGGGACAAGGGTGCCAACACCATTCGCTGAGGAAGGGCAGTCTCTTCAGTAGCGTTCGGGAAACTAGATATCCAAGTGCAAAAGAATAAAGTTGTCTTCCATCATTGCAAAAACTAACTCAAAGAGCTAAGACTACAAAGCTTTTAGAAAACAGAGGAAGGGCCTGGCTGGCGTGGCTTAGTGGATTGAGCGCGGGCTGTGAACCA